GGTTCAGGGTTTAGGGTATAGGAGTTAGGACTTCAAGGCGGACTCCGAAGCCCTGTAGTCCTTCATCCCCAAAGCTTGTGCAAGCCGCAAATTGTCAGTACTATGGTTACCTGGGGACCATTAAGGGTGGACATAGGGGCCCGTTCTGGTAGTTTGGTACAGTCCTTTAGATATTCCCTGGCGTCCAACTCATGGCCTATCCCCCTAGTTTGTAGAAACCGCCATGTGGCTACTATGATAGACTTGGCTTTCGTCTGTTAATACGCCGAAATCCCAGTCTTATCTAAGTTTCCATTCCATGTTCTTTTCCATTTGATTCTCCATTCTTATACCTTGTATAACCCCCACCCTAAACCGAAAACCCTTAACCCCAATCCCTATAGCGACAACCTAGTTCGGATCCCCAAGCCCTAAACCCTGCACCATAACTCCTACAAGTAGCTGCCTAGTCCCAGACCCCCAAAGGGATCGAAAAGTTAGAACCCCTAGAAGACTATGGGACTTATATAGGGATTATACATGGGTTGCTATGGCTTTATATAAAGGACCTGATTTTTAGATTCTCCCAGGGGTCTGGCATTTGGATCCCAAGAGAAAACTGCGCCAGGATGTTTGCGGAGGATGCGCGAGACGCTACCGCGGACGAGGAGTTCGGGCCTCTCAGGGCTGAAGAGGGGTTTCGGGATTAGGGTTTAGGGATTAGGGTTGTGGGTTTAGGGATTAGGGACTAGGGTTTAGGGATTAGGGATTAGGGATTAGGGTCTAGAGGTTAGATGTGACTGGGTATATGTTGCATACTGCCCCTGCCCAGTAACAGTTGGACAATGAAGTATATAGCGCTTAAAGATAACCCTATAATAGACGGTGGGGGCAGTAGCCAAGGTATGGTGGTTTCCAAAAGGGGGTTGCCCTGAATAAGGACTAGATTTTGTTGGGGGTACATAGGGCGTCCCTCCATGTATGGAAAATGCCAGGTAGAAATGATGGAGGTCAGGGTTTAGGGATATGATTCCAACAATTGAGAATCAAGAGGAATGAGCAAGCAAAATGAGCAGTCCTTACTATGTCATTCAAGGTTTTGGTCTGAATACTTGAGAATCAAATTGAAAAGACCATGGACATTCACATGGACACTCGCATTATGTAGCGCTTTATAGGCTTTAGAGCAAGGCTTAGGGATAGGTACGGATAGCCCAAGAGACAAGCAGGTTGTATCCTACAGTCTCTTACCCATGCCATTATCAAAGACTTGAAGTTTCTACCCGGCTTGGGATCCCAAATGCTCTAATGGGTTTAGGGTAGATAAATTGCATGGCCCAGGGGTCCAAACCAAGGGGTACAAACCCTGAGGGTACAAAAGACAACTCCCCGATGTTAGGATCCAGATACCACTAGCGTTTGGCAATGTACCTACCTAGGGCTAAAGGCAGGGCACTTTGGGTGCACTACATCTGCAAGACTGACGACAGCACCAGTCAAGAAGGAAAGAGTAGTTCAAGTGGGATTTAATGAGACCTGGGGTAGCATTAGCTAGATAGTACCTTGGCCTAGGGTTTAGAGCTTAGGTGTCAGATGTTCATGTAAGTGGTAGGTAGTTTACACGCAATAAGCAAACAAAGTAACTTCGCGAAACGAGCATGCAAACGGTTCGCAAAGCTACACAACTGGAGAGGCGTAGGCCCGCGGGATGATTCTAGTGGTTTAGGGTGTAGGGTTTTAGGGTTTCAATTTCGGGTTTTGGGTTTAAAGTTTAGAGTTTAAGTTTTAGGGTTTCCGGTTTTAGGGTTTAGGGTTTATAGGGTTTAGGATTCTAGGGCTTTATAGGGTTTAGGGCTATACCAAGCAACATAATCCAACGGTATGACTTACTAGTGGTTCGCAGGGAATAGGGGAGTACAATCCCTGTCTACAGTAAGATTAGCTTCGCTCGCCAAGTTCGACTGTTCCTACTATGGACCCTGAGGCAAGTCGAATGGGTCTTTGAGGCCAACGACGATGCGGATGAGGAGGCTGGCATCGAAGTTCAAATCACGTGAGTAGCGTTTAATTCGGACAGTACAATCTGCAACAGAATTAGATGATATTAGGTTCTTAGCTGTGGTGTTGTGGCCTTTCATGATGAAGAGGAATACAATTGGCGGATCCATCACAAAAAAAACGCTACTCACCTGTTTTTTGTTCAGAGTTGTAGTTTGCAGGGCCTCCTTGCAGTCACGGGTAATTAATCTTTGGCCCATCCATTGAGATCAGCGCAAAACGCTGTGCGAGCATACGATGCCCACCTCAACAATGGCCAAAACAACAAGAGCTGCCTGCTACCAATCAACATCCCGCATGTTTTCGAATAGCTTCCTACGGCACCATGAGTTCAAAAGCAAACGGAAGTTTTTCCCTTGCTACACTTCCACATGTAGTTCCAGGTAGTTCAAACCTAGATCCCCTAATCCTACTCCCTTCATCCATAGACCTTGGGACCTCCCAATAAACTCTTAATTTCTCAAACCCTAAGCTCCTTCTAAACTACCTAAACCCTTTGACCCCAAATTCCGCCTAAACTACCTAAACTCCTCTGACTCAGACCATCGAACCCTAAACTCCTTGCAGGTGCTATCACCTCCAGCTTCCGGAGCCTCCAAGAGCTGGCTGTCTGGGCCTCTTCACAAGCGTTGTTCTCAAAGTTACGGGTCTATTTTGGTTACAGATGGTATTTCGGCAATTAATATTGATGTGTACCAAAATGGCCCCTCCCAAAAAGAAATTGGGAACGAACCATAGGGGTTTGGGTTCTGGAGACCCCTTGGGTTGCTTTATGGGATTAAGGGTTTAGGGTTTAGGAATGTTGCGCGTCGTTGAGCTGAACAGCACACTCCAGGTCACTGGATCCAAGTGTTTCCAAGTAGGGGCCGCAAAAACTAGGTTCATTGCTACAAGGACACCAGCACGAACATCGTGGTGTGTTCTCAGTAACTGCACGCAATCGGTCATGGACCCAAAGCGGCGTTAGTTTCTTCTTTACTCTTGTTCACGGCCAGCTAGAAACGGAGAATGGATCCCTGCAGGTACCAGTCTCCATCCTCACTCCCAATGGCTGGGCCTTTGCTAGAGAACCCAAACTCAATTACCAACTTAAGTTACCAGCATAGGGAAGCCATATTATTTACTATACATACATATATGCATAGATACCCGTTATTATGGTAACTTAGTTGAAGCTGCTCATGGTCGTTAGTCCTTAGCAGCAACCCATATGCCTGAAACCCCGCAATTCCTCCTGAAGCTCCATCCTAGGAATTGGCTGCAGGGCACGTGCGGGTCCCAGAGCATTGGCCTCTAGAGTTGCAAATCTTGCTACCTGGACACCACAAGCATGTAGAGCAAGACCATATTGGTTTCTTTTTAAACGATTTTTTGGCCATGTTTTGTCATACTCTTGAGGTCCAGGTAGGTATCTCTTATCCTTGCAAAAGCTACGCTTGAGTGTGGATGTTCGCCAGCGGTCAGGTTTGCAGTATTGTGGGCCCAAACATGTCTAGCAGGCTTGCAGAGGAAGCAGGAAAAGGAACAAGTTGCGAAGTTTCAAGCGCGGCTACATATGGTAGTTTCCCAAAGTAGAGGGACCCATTTATAGACCCCCTCTACTCTGGTGCTTAGTATGGTGACCCCCAAAAGGGTACCGCTCTTTCTGGGAAACCCCCATATATAGACGCAAGGCTTCCATTCTCGGCAGCCCCATATATAGACGCAAGGCTTCCATTCTCGGCAGCACGTCAGTTCGCAGTATAACAGCTGCCGGAAACTAGTAACTAAGAAGTTTTGGGTTTAGGGCTTACTAGCAGCTGACAAAGGACAAGATTAGTATTTCAAGAACTAGCCATAGTCGACATTCGTCAATGCCCGAATCGTCAACTCCTTTGCAAATGCTAGTTTCAACAGGACATGTTGATATTGTGACATATATATATATATACGCACACATATTGCTGTCCCTTTATGCTTCCTATAGAAGACTGCATCATCCCCCATACATGTTTCCTACAGAAGACTGCATCATCCCCCATACATCCCCTATAGCTCCCTCTGCAATTAGCATAGTTAAGCGTGAGCGGCCACTTGCTGTGCAAATAGGCCTGCGCCGAGGGGGCACCACTACTCAAGGCAGGAGCCAGCAGGGCCAAGCAAGCTGGGTAGAGTTGGATATTAGGGTTTAGGGTTTAGGGTTCAGGGTTTAGGGTTTAGGGTTTAGGGTTCAGGGTTTAGGGTTTAGGGTTTAGGGTACAGTTGGATAATATAGATAAATATATATATGGTATAGATATAGAAGTGTATTCTAATGGACAAGTTAGGAAGATTCTGAGTATATATAATATAGATATAGAAGTGTATTCTAATGGACAAGTTAGGAAGA